AGAACTTTACATAGTTAAGATTACGCTTGAATTCTTCAAAGGTTCTTGTGGGCAACGCTTTTGTAAAGTCATTTGCAACTTGATCTTTTGAATGCACAAACCGAATATCTAACTCCTTGCGAGCAACTCTTTCTCTTACAAAATGCAAATCAATTTTAGTGTTGGCCCTTGCATGAAAGACTGGATTAACAGATAAATATGTGCCACCAAGATTGTCACACCAAAGACATCAAGCTTGTTCATGTCATATTCCAAGTTCTTTCGGCATGGATGAACCCAAATACTTTTTATTGTTTCTTTGCACATTACTCTCAATGCTTTGTATTCTACTTCTGTACATGATCTTGAAATTAAGGCTTGTTTCTTTGCACATCATGAGATTAAATCAGGACCAATAAGTATTTCAAAACCACTTGTTGACTGTCTATCATCCAAGCATCCTGCCCAACCAGAATCAGAAAAAGCACTAACAAGGATGGATGATGCTCATTGAGAGTACGTACATGTCATGATCAGAATCTTGAGAGGAATGCATATACCATATTGAGCCTAACTAGCAAATCTCAACACAATTGAAGCACAAGATGTACTAGTATGCTTGGTATATGGAATATGAAGGAGAGCTTGCGGGCCTCCTTCAATAGCCGAGCATCCCTATATGTATTAGAGCTCTTTAATGAATGACTTATTAGTTAGCAAGCACAACACCGTACATATGGTATTACTTAGGCATGGACATGACATACTTGCTAGGTTCCCTGTATATCTAAAATGACAAGGCAATTAATGAGTGAATACCGATGACAAGGGACATTGTGCCTATCTCCTTAGAAAAATCTAACATGCTAGGGCGCAAAAGCTAACAGTTCATTAATGGGAAATAAAAAATTTCATGAATATTTACAGGTTACAGACAGGGTGCATGCAACACACGGCCACGCAGAGATTACAAAGGATGGAAGCCAAGCTAAAACAACACAAATATAAACAAGAACATGAGAGGAGAGGGGAGTTATCAAGAAGCCAATCAACCCTCCCCAGAAGCCGAGACCACGAGGGATTGAGCGCCCCAGCCTAGATGGGCAAGCCTAGAGCAGTGACGAAAGAACGACACCTCAAAAACATCAAGCCCAAGGCAGACGAAGAGCTCCGCTGACAACCTCGCACCACAGAAAGCAAGAACTACTGGGATGGAGGAAACAGTAGCTAGGGATAATACTCATCTGAGCCCGTTTCTCCTACAAAACCGTCTAGAATACTTTTTAATCGAGGCGGTTTAGTTTTTAAAACATTCCCAATTACTTCTTAGAGTTTTGTGCGACAAAGTATAGGCCTTACAATTTTGCATATTTCAATTGATAGATACGTCCACCAAGTTTCACAATATAATTCTTGAGATGGATGCAACAAGGGTGGGGAGTCATTCAGTGCACGAGTTGTCCCGCCAGGCGTCAAAGAAGTACACACGTGGTTAGTGTGACTTTCCATACGGAACTGTCAGTATCATTCATTCATGTGCTCGATGGTGACTAGGGAGAGAGATCTATGGTGTGTGTACGTCCATGGCCTAGTAGTTAGTTGCATGATAGTAACTCACCAACCATCATGTAATCATGTTAGCCTAGTGTGGGTTTGCCTATGCATTTAAATCCAAGGACAGGTTAGTGATCTAAAAGGTGTTACATAAGTCTACGGAGGAATACTTAATAGTCAGAATAGAAAGTACTTAGTTGTAAACGAGTTTAACATGCTTATTTGCCAGATTACAGGTGCTCGGTTACCAAATTTAAAAGGCTTATTCGCTGGTTTTATTTGACTATATCGAATGACTTGTTTCAAGCTGTGGTGCAGGACGATGATGATGCATACACGGTCTGAACTAAGCTCAATGGGCTCTTCACCGACAATTGCCTTCATCGGCTTGTGTTCCTACAACAAGAGTCTTTGGATGCCAACAAAACGACTCGTCCATTGATGAGTTTTGTACGCGCCTGAAACGACTCTCCGACGAGCTCCGCGACATCGGCAAGAAGGTTTCCGATGAGCTCCTCCATAGCATAGTCATGGCTGGCCTCAACGACGAGTTCAATAATGCGGCATCCAACCTCACACTAATTACCGAGCCAACCTTTCCCAAGGTCGACGGCCGGTTGCAGGATCTGCTAGAGATGCTCACAGTCCGACCCATAAAAATTTTACGGGCGGCCCGTAAACCGCCCCCAACTCCCACATATATACATGAGCGACCCCGTTTTAGGGTTTGCATCCGGCATTCCCGTATCCCCCTCCGTGCAAATCGGGTACTCCGGTGAGAAATCCTCCACTGCCTGGCCGCTGTTTGCCGCACGCGTAGACAGCGAAAGCTTGCCCGGATGTCGAGCACGGGTCACAAGAGGGGTGACCAAGGGGTGTGCAGCGGTTGCGGTGGCTCGCCGCCACGCAAGCGACGAGGTGGGGAGCTCCTCCCTCTGCCCACCAGTGGAGGAGTGGCGCAAGATGTAGGCTCAGAACTGCGGCGCGCTCTATAGCAGCGCAGGCCGACAAGTGTGGAGCAACTTTGACCGCCGCAACCGGATCTTCTCGCCCCGGTCAAGCGACTCCGGGAGGCGAAGCACACGTGGTTCAACGCAAAGAAGTCAGCCGCCGCCGGAGACGAAGCTTCCGCGGCAGGGGTGGCAGCGGCGAAGGAGGAGTACGACCTGGTGTTCATCCTCTCCAACTCTCTAATGGAGTGCCACCTCCATGTCAAGAAGCGTGGTGATGATGATGAGTAGATTTAGGTTTTATTATGTTTTCATGCTAGTATGAACTCTGGCTTTCGTATGAACTTCGGCAATATAAGATGGTGCGAATTGCTAGTTTAAATTGTGTGGTGTGTGTATGCCGGATCTGTTCTTTCTCGCCGTCTGCGGTATCACAAATTCAGTTTACATGATTCCGTAAGCGAAATTTGTGGTACCACGGCTTGCGCCAGAATCGGGAGAAGATACAAGTATTTGTTTTCCTCCAATATTTTGGACGGATTCAAGATGGACAGACATGGGAACAAATCTGAATTCATATCACACTCACATTAATATCCCAAGCTGGTGGAGTATATATAGGGCTATACATCTCTTGCGTGTTTGAATAAGTCATTCAAGAAATGTTTGTTTGATCATGTGACCATCCTACTTGCATGTTTAGGTTAGTCTCCAATTTCCTAGTTGAAGAACTTAGTATAGATTGTATGCCAGTTCTCTCGTATGTATCATCATGCCAAATTCATTGCATCATGAAAGACATTCACGCGACAAATGATTCCATTTTAGCTATCTTTTCAGCTCCCTTTCAAGAACATCAAAGCATCCATGTGATGGTATTAAGCAAGGTATTTCGGAGTTGTTTGTCATTTCTTTGTTAAGTGAGTACACTGCATAATACAAGTCCTGATAAATTTATACAAGTAAAAAGAATTTTGGGGGTTTTGGCATTACTTGATTCTTCTCCATATCTCTGCTCAAGAAAAGGATACTGAGATTGTAGGGGAATATGCTACGCTACAAAAAAATTATCCTACATAATCACACTCAGGAACACAATGAAGATGGAGATAACGATCAAACTCACCGATGGCGCGGAGTAGCGGAAGCAGTGACGAGTTGGTGCTGCGTCAGAATCACCATGTGAAGCATCCATGCCAATTTTCATTTATTTCTGACATTTTATGCATTTTCCACCCATTTGCATCACCATGGCAAGCATCCATGCAAATTTTCATTTATTTATGACATTTTATGCATTTTCTAGGGTTTTCTCGGTGAAAAACCCTAAAGTACAAGCCGGTTGTGAGGCAACGTGCATATGGTGTCTGACTTCGTTCAAATTCTGTATGGAGGTCTATTGTGGGCATTCAGTGAGAGGTCGCATCCACTCTGGGCCAACATCAATACGGAGCAGCCGCTCTAAGCGGCATGAATGTAGGCAGCTGGCTTTGGACGGGAAAACGTGCGGGAGAGGGAGAGAGATTTGGGTGGGCTAGGTTTGTCAAGAGCAGGTGTGGTAGCGGTCCGGACGCCCGCCCTCCCCAGTTTGCTGGAAAATTGACGTACGAACCGCCAAGCAGACTGATATAGGACCGCGTCGAACGACAAAACACATTTGGATTGTGCAGTCTGGATAGTTATGGGCGTTTTAAGAGTCCGCGTTAGAGATGCCATTAGTCTCAAACTTCCAAATAGAAAAAGTTAGTATACATGATATGCCAGTTCTCTCAATTTTTTCTAGAAAAGGAGGATGCACCCCCGGCCTCTGCATCTAGACGATGCATGCAGCCATATTATTAATTATTCACAAAGATCATACAAGGTGATACATCAACAAGGTTGAAGCCGTCATCTTGTAAACACCGTTGCTACTCCTATCCCCTTGACGAAGGCATGCCGAATGTCCGGGCCTAATACCAAACAGACATTGCACCCAAGACTAACATCTAAGCTGGGGTATCCCATCCAAGCCACTACCTGGATTGGGTCCCACACCAGTCTGGCACACTCCCAGTGAGCAACACATGCT